CTCACCCTCCTAATGTCTTTCAAGGAGGGCTCCCGGAGATTTTATGAAAGCATCTCTGAACCACATCCCTGTGGTTCCTTCTGCCTTCCCACACCACATACCCAATAAAAGCAACTTCCTGGGTTGCCAATATGAGTTTTACCTGTTCCCCCTTTGCTGTTTTCCTTTGCTAATCTTTTCTCAGAAAAGAAGTAGTTTCTGGGCCTGCATTTTCAGGGATCTGTTGATTTGGGTTGCTTTGGGGAAATCGGCTTTTGGGGGTGCGGTGGGGTGAATGGACTGGAATTGCATTGGAGATGGATGTTGCTTTGCTCTAGATGCTCCTTAAACCTGGGCATTCTGGGAAATGTAACATGCTGGGCGCTGGCAAGACAATGTCTAGGACCCTGATTAATGCCATCAACCACCTTTCCTATGAGATCTGAGCCGCACCTCACCAGAAGCAATCTTGCGACCGTGTTTCTTCCTTGCTCCTTGGTCCCAAATTCAGTTTGAATTTTCAAAACTCTAGTCATCTGTTAGTCACCAGCAGAACAATTAACGTGTCAGAGAAGGGTGATGTTCGTGGGGGAAAAACCACATCGGGGAGGAGCACAACCCTCCCCCACTTTGTCCCGCGGTCCTTATCCTGACAAGGGCTCTTCGCAGCTTTTGTCTGTGTGCAGGTGTGTGCTCATTGCGTGTTCTGCTTTATTCTTCCAAGATTCAAAGATGCAAATGAATCATCTCATTTTCCCTTTTCTATCCTAGCTGCAATGATCCTAGTTCAAGCCCACCAACTTTCAATGAACTTAATCCCCCCCCCTTTTTTTTTTTTGGTGTAGGGCAAGGCGCAGAGGCACCATTTCATAGGGCTGGATTTTATTGAAAGTTGGAGAAAGTCCCCTGTGAAATATGCAAGAGGCCATTAAAAAAGGCCGGAGCTGTCTCTCTAGTGTTCCTAATGCTCTCTCCCGCGTCAGAGCCAGTTCAGGGAGGCAGGAGTGACAAATAATTGAATTCTTTCCCTGGCTCCTGGCTCTTCCTCACACGCTGCTGCACGAATGCCTGACAGGGAGCCTTAATGAAATCCCTAATGAATTTTGCAGTGCTTCCAGCACCTAAAGTGCGACTGTCTTTCTCACTTGAGAACGCTGCAGTTCCATGTAGTACAGACAATTATTCTTATTATATCACTTAACATAGTGGGGCAGGTTGCAGTGCCAGTCAATGGATACTACTATCTAGTTGCTATGGCAAAGCGGGAGAGCTGAGCCAGCAAGAGCCACTGCATCCACCCGGACCTACTGCCATCGGGTTCCTGGTACTGGTGCCATCAACAGCCCTTCTGCCTGACTCTGTCCAAGGAACGGGGGAGGAGCAAGTTGTGTTAGATTTGGATCATTGCAATTCTAGTTCTTGTCCTTCCCTTGAACCGGAGAGGTATGGAAGCTCCCCCTTGAATTTCCTGGCAGCTAATTTCAGTTTTGTGCAAAAGTCAGGCCACAATTTGTGCAAAGAAAAGCAATAACAAAGCAGGCCAGTAGAGTGATAATATCTAGTCCTGGGTGCACATCATGATGGGTGTAACATTTGGCCGGTCTTTAAATAGTGAGCAGTCTTTTGAGGATTCTTAGACCCGCCTGCCAACATAGTGAAAAAGATGAAAGGGCTAGAAATAGTATTGCATATGTAGAGAAAGAGGAGATTTGACTGCCTTCTCCAACCATTGTTTTCTCTTTTGAGACCTCTCCTCTTCTAGAAAGCAATGCTTCCT